GTATAGCTTCGCAGTGGTTGTCAATGATTGGATTGTACGACGGTATATACGACTAAACTCACCTCGTATCTCTTCCACTTATACTTCCGCCCTTCCCCGTCCACGAAGGTTATTACGCTGCTGCACTCTCGGTAAATACTTGATTGCATCTCTTCGATCGAAGAGGGACATACTCTTTGAACGGCACCTTACTTTTACACAACCACTCGCGTACCGGGAGAGTCTGTCCCTCCCGAAAAGCGACCGTCACGCTCCCTGCGTGCAGATTCACGCCGGTCCATCGCAGCTGTGCAATCTCGACGGCCTTCAGGTCGGTATCACCCTCGGACACGTGTGTCGTGAATGTACCGTTGTCACATTCCGTATGAACGTCGTACAAGACTTGACCGGAGGAATCGGTGAGGGTCGTGTCGCGGGGACTGTCCGTGGACAGATAGAGAGTCAGCCCCTCAGACTCGGGCTGGTGTTGACGTTGCATGGTGGGTGATTGAGGTAGGTTCAAGGACACGGCGTTCTCGAATTTGAATCTTCACCTCGAAGTAGGCCTATAAGTATGAAGTGCCCGGACGCCGCGCAGTCGGACTCGCAACGCACATGCCCCCCCCAACGATATGGAGCTGCCAACGTCGTACACAGCATCTGTCCAACGTCACGGTCGGAAACTACGTACGTCCATTCTGGGACACGCCGAACCGACGAAGTGTGGCGCCGGCGAAGTGCCGTGCCTCATGACTTGTAGTTGCACTGCCTCGCAGCACTGAGTAAACAATGACCCAATGAAAGTGGCATCACAGCACTGTTATGTAGTACTCGATGTAAGAAGACCATCTCACACGAGGGCCGGCGTACGTGCTATGTACTCGTCAAGCTTTCGTTGCTGTTGCTTTCTGTCGATTTAGTGCCATCAGCGACGGGCTGAAGCTTGAAGGAGATGCTCACTTGACGCTCCGTGCCAGTACCACATAGAAGCCTACACACCCGACACCAGACAAGAAACAGAGGTGTCTATAGCGGACTAGCAGTATCATCGGTATCCTCTCGTACATGACAGGTCGTTACAACATGGCCACCACCACAGCCCAATATCCCTCAGCGAGCTTATACACAAGCAGCAGCACCCAAGATTACACTAGTTAAATACGCTACCTGGTCAGTCAAACACCACCGCCCATCCAGCACCTCACGCGAGCTTCTCGTCGATGCTGTTCGGGTCATTCGACTCGCGCGACGCGATCGTCGGCGTCGACTCGCCCTCGAGGCCCATCATCGACGTGTCGAAGCCGTGCGCCTCGAGGTACTCGCGGAACAGGCGGTCCTCCTCCTCCATGCCGTCGTGCGAGAGCGGCTTGATGAGGAAGAACGTCACGAGCGCGCTGAGGATCGCGAGGCCCGACGCGATCCAGAACGGGCCCGTGTTCCCGCGCTTGCTGGTCGCGCCGCCAAAGTCGTTCACGATGTCATGCCAGACCCACGTGCCGATGAATGCGCCGACCTTGCCTACCGCGGCCGCGATCCCGTAGAACTGCCCGCGCACCGCGGTCGGACCGGTCTTCGCGGCGAGCATGCCGAGGCAGTTCCCGGGCCCGAGCTCGCCGAAGCTGAGGAAGATGCCATAGACGACGGCGAAGGCGGCGATGTGCTTCGTGAGCTGGTCGTAGAGACCGCTCATGATGAAGCCGATGACGGCCTGGCACAGAAGGCCTGTGATTTGGGTGTACTTTGGACCGAGGTAGTCGACGACGAATGCACCGCCGATCGTGCCCGGGATGTAGAATAAGCTGAAGGGTCCCATCAGTTACTGGTACACATGAGTAAATCACAACACGGACTTGATCACGACGTTCCAGCCGAACACAACGCTAAGCGCGCTGGAGTTGTTCGTGATGTTATCCACGACCGTCGAGGAGAAGAGACCGAACTGTACACGTCATGAATCCCAAAGATCGACAGCAGTGTGCCAAGTGTGACTCACTGGATACACGATGAAGTCGTAGATGAACCACGCGATGCAGATGCCCAAGAATTGGACCCAGTACCTACGGATAATAAGGAGGTACGGCGTCTTCGTGCGCTTCATCGAGTCCTTCTTGAACCGGGTCGGCTCCTCCATTTGCAGCCGCCAGATGAAGACCGCAACGGCCGGTATGAGACCGAGACCGACCGAGATACGCCATACGGCGCGTAGATGGTTGTCGCCAAAGATCCAGTAGAGCACGAGGGGGACGAACGCGGAGACGACGAAGCCAACATCGATCATGGAGTCTGTGAAGGCGCATATAGCCATCCAACCTTTGTGTTTGATAGGGAAGAGGGAGCAGACGTACTGGTCGCGAGCGCAAACCACCGATGCTGGGCATTTTTGCTGATACCTGGCTCTTCCGACTGCTCTGAGGCGGCGACGGACCCGCAGGGGTATTCCGCGCCAACACCTATACCAATGAGGAACCGCATCGCGCAAAGCATGTCGAGCATCCCCCGCACGCTATGGTTCGCTCCACTTGATGCTGCGGAAAGGCCGGAGAAGAGGGCCACGATACCCGTTGCGAGCATCTACAGGCAGTGTGATTAGCCAGGGCACAACGAAATATTCAAGCGAAGGCGTTAGATGCGCGGCTCGGATTAATGAGACTCATGTTACGGAGACGCGCCGGCTCGCGACGCGAGCTTCGCGGTGACAGTTGCAGGCAAGGCGCCTCGCCAAACGTCCCCGCAGATACGGAATTCCGCTCCATTTGACGGGTCAGCAGGAGAGGTAGGTCAGCAGGCAATGACGCTGCAAACACGCCTCTCCTCCCAGATGCCGGCAAGCAGACACTGAATTTCCGAGCGATGCGGTAAGCAGGACGAGACGCGTAGATGTGGCTTCCGAAAGTCAAGAACTGTCCTTATATGCCTCGGGCCTCTGCACGTCGTAGAAGGTGGAGAGCAAAACACTCACCATACCGGACTTCCGACTAATCTTGTCCGAGATGTAGCCGAATATGAGCATGCCAACGACGGTGCCCGCGAAGGCAAGCGACGTGAGGGTGTTACTGTACGTGGTATCGATCTGGTCCGGGCCATAGATCCGCTTGAGGAGGGTATTCACTGTAAATCGCGAAGAGACTGAGTATATGCGCGAGAAAGGAGGACGGGTACACGCACCGCTCCCAATGATGTTGTTAGCATAACCTGCCAATGAGCCCCGTCAATTTCCTGCATCGTCAGACATGGACAAACAAAGTACCGTCAGAGAACAAGGCGGTCCCGCAACTGGCATACGATGTCAATGTCGTTGTATGTGGCTGCGAAGAGCGAGCACGTACGCAAAGATGAGGGAGACCTGGCTGAGGCCGACGCGTTTCTTGCCGGTGGAAGCCATTGCTCGAGTCGACGCTCACAGTGAAGGGAGGTAGACGAGACGGGGACGGTAGGGCGTGCGGGACGAGCATCATCGCGCTGATATACAGTTTGCGGGGAGAGCGAGCACCATGCTCCGGCGAATTCTGCTATCTTTTTCTCCCTGATGGCCCTGGGTTATGTCCATATTCGGCTTATCTCCCGGCGCACGTTCGTCCTCCTCCCAAATCGTGGCCCCGCTCCAGACAGAACTCTGTCCGGCCACATCACCGCCCACCGAATCCCTGCCGGCAAGTCTGCCCTGCATAGCCTTCTCTCGCCCCGGTGCGCCAACGTTCGTGCGCTCAGCTGGTGGTCGACGACGACGTGCTGGGTCTTGCTGGATGCGGACTGCTGTGCTGTGGCAGTCCGGCTGGCGTCGTCCATGTGGAACGCAAAGTGGACCTGATAGTCGGATCTGGGGGCAGATGGGCGCCCATGTACGATCCAGATCGGTGATCTCGCCGACTCATTTTTGAGCAAGTTTCCGAGATGGTCAATAAGTTCATCTGAGCTCCTCCTGGCGCAGGCAGCATCCACGTACATGGCTGAAAAAAGGCTGTGTTTTTATCGTGTATGTGGTGCCTGGACCAACATGGCGCAGGTGGTACTCATCGACTTTGTTTATGAGATCGCACTGCCGATCGACGCGATCGAGCTTGACCTGGTCCCGACGCTCAGGGGTCCGTGCGCATGTACAGTCCTTCCTTTTATGCTCTCCTATGATTCCACCACCGACCGAAACACTCGAGCTCGGCGCACACTTTCTATGCAAAATCTGGAAGTCCCGGGCCTCCCTTCGCGCGCAGTAAGCCGACGTCATCGACCAGCGAGCGACTCGCCCGCGGCACTCGCCCACAGAGATCCGGATGCGGTGGGACCTAGATCATTTTGACTTCAGCCCATGCTTCTTGCATCGACCAGGGCAGCTTCCTCGCCCTTTGCTTAAGCTTACAACCGCCGCGGTACACGTTGCGGACTCGTAGGATCTGCCAGTGTCTGTCAGCCTGTTCCGTTCCTAAGTTTGTCTTCTTTCATTTATGCACGGGCTTCCGCTGCCAGCAATCTGCCGACCGCGCTCAGAGGATGTCTAATAGGCTCGTGACCAGCCGTTTCGAACTCCGATGAGCGTTCGAAGAACGGCTGGTACAATCGGAAGCCCTTTACGAGGGGGCCTTAGGCGCTGCCGGATTTGGGCCCCCGTGTGAATCGACACTTAGTGAAATCGCGTGTGTCCTCCTTGTAGCTCTCAGTGGACGAGCAGTCCGACTCCGTCAAGGATTCATATTCAATGACTGCCTCACCACTCGCTCGCACTACGCCGGTCAGATGTTCGAATACCATTCAGATGCTGTACTACGTATGTAGAAAAATATTTATGATTGTGAATCGGAACTTGCTGTTGCTCGCGCAAGCGATGTATATGTGGTCCAAAACGAGTCGTAGGAGGTGGGAAGTGCCGGGTGAGATAACTCGGGGCCCGGGCCTGAGCTCGCAGCGGATGATGTCGCAACAGGACCAGGGGTATGTTCGACACGGGCTCGCTTGGTTGGTCTGGCCACTGCACTCGCCTCATGGCTAGTCTCAGTGGACGACGAGCTGCCCGGGTCGACGTCTGCTACTCATTTTGATGCAGCCGTTCCACTGGGCTCCAAGCGAGCAGGATGGCTGGATAGGTTGGAAGACGCAGCGATGCTAGCCGGTGCGTTTGTTTGCTTCGTCGTTTTCTTCCCGGGCTTGGGTATGAATTTGATGTTGAGCGCGGCAATGTAAGTGATCAGCTCATCTCCGTATTTGTCCCACCAGACCCATGATGGCTTGAGAATTGAGGTGAGGATGTTGTGGGGGAGATTTCCCGCAGTGACGAGGCGTTCAATCGAGCTGTCGTCCAGGATGGCCGTCGAGTCGTATAGGCTTCCCGGGTGATCGCGTTCGTACACCATGTCTCGCCAGTCGCACAGTTTCAGCTGGGCTTCGACATCTGGGTGTCCACGCGCAACGCGTTTAATCTTCTTCGCCGGCAAAACAGCACCAGGGCGCGTGCGATCAAGCAGAGCTGGATCACATATGTCACAGCAACTTGAGGATCCTGTAGGCGCTGCATACGAGGTCCGTACTAGATCGTTAGCTGATACGAAAACCAGGTTAGAGGCCTATACACAAACCTGACAAGGGACTCTCAAATGCGTCTGCCCAGATACGGCGGCGACAGCGGACGCTCTGCACGAAAACCAGTAGTCCCTCATCAAGCGCCTCCGTGTCCAGTCGAGGCTGTTCGCCCGCCGGGACATCGTCTTTGCATGTGTTGCCTCCGTGGTTGACGCTGTGCGCTTCGGCATATTGCTTCGGAGCTTTTGCTTGCGGTGCGCTGCTCATATTCTTCTTCTTCCTCCCCCTCACTGCCGGTTTGACCTTGCCTCGCCCCAGTCCGTCCTGTCCTGCCACTGTGTTGGCCTGTCCGTGACCAGCGGGTGGCGCATTGGATGGCGTCAAGTCGATTGAATATGCAGACCGTTCGACAATCAGCACGGCCAGCCCTGTTCGACCTCGGCCTCTTGCAACGCGCCCCGCACGCTGGATGAAGTTGGAGAATGTCGATGGGAGCTTCCACTGGACGACGATGTCTATATCAGGTATATCACATCCCTAGGGCAGGTAAGTCACTAAGCGGTGTTTGATGAGATGCATGAACTGATAAACGTACCATTCCAGCGGCTTCTGTGCACACAAGGATGCGAATGTCACCATCCCGGAATGCAGCCATCGCAGCGGTGCGGTACTCAGAAGACAGAGTCGCGTTGAATGGGCGGATCAAGTCTGCAGACAGGGGACCTTCTGGTCGATGTGCAGTGCGTCTTTCGAGTCGGTCTGCGAGGAAGTCAATGATTTCCGCCCCCGTATTGATGTTGTCGACATAGATCCAAGTTTTCGGGATGTCCTGAGGACAGCTGGCTGACTGTGGGATGACGAAATCCAAGTCTTCAAACGAGTTCAGAGCATGCTGATTGGCGCGTACGACGAGAGCGATGTTCGGGCGGTCATTCCCGATGTTGACAAACCGGCTGCCACCCTTGGGGAAGTGGAGTTTGCTGTGAATGTCTCGGCGCACACGTCCGGTCAAGGTGGCTGTCAAAGCAATGACCGGTGTCCCGCGTGGAAGGAATGCGCGGATAACACCCAGGGATGCATACTTCTTGCGGAAGTCTGCTCCCCAGTGCGAGACACAGTGTGCTTCGTCAATAACCAAGGAAAGAACGTGCCTCGTAAATTTGGAGTTGCGGAGAATTTTCTTCACAAAGGTACGTGACTGAAGCATCTCTGGCGATGCGAGAATGACCTGGTATTTGAGTGCGAGGATGCGCTGGAGGGCCTGAACTCAACCATGATGTTCCGAAGACGACAAGACTGTCATTACTGCACCTTCACGACAAGCGGTGAGCATGAACCGTTTTTACTACTGACAGCAATGGCATCGAGCCCAAATTGCTCTTTGAATGTCTTGACCTACGGAAAGTAAGTAATCTCAGAGTGCTGAATGGGCATGCACGTAACTGACATACCATCTCGTCTTCGAGGGATAATAACGGCGATACCATGATCGTCACCTTCGCTCTGTCCTGTGGCCAAAGGTGTGCACCAGCTACTACAGCCGTCTTGCCCGACCCGGTTGGGGCCTGAATCATCATGTCTACCCCTTCCAGCTGTGCCCGGATACCTTCCAGCTGAAAATTGCGTGCAGGCCACCCGTACGTCTTGTGAATGAGGTCGTGCAATTTGCTGACATCGTCTTCAGACAGTTGCTGCCACTTGAACCCACCAGCCGCGTCACGACGACGAGCCCAGCGCTGACTGAACGACCGTTTCCTCAAACGAGCCATGGTTGCAGTGGTTGGTTGGTGTATGAGTGAGTGCAGTTGAACTTGCGAATGAGCCTAGCAGTGGCGGTGGCGGTGGCGTTCCGGCAAGCATAATGGTGAAGTACACCGAATCTTTTTTCTTCTGTACTGCTCTCTGCATATCGCGTACACTCGCTTCTTTTCATAATGATATGGAGGATTCTGCAAATCCTTTCGATGACTCGCCACTGAAACTACAAGGCTTGTGGGTTATGTCCCCGCTCCCACCGTCTTCACCCCTTTCCCCGCTGCCTCCGTCACCCATACTGCTGCCTTCCGCATTGTTCTCTGCCCATGAAACTCTGAGCACGTCTGTGCTAGACCGGCCATCCGTCGAGGCCCACCCGTCTGTTGCAGGTCCATCTAGAGTCCTACCCACATATCCTGTTCCAGCAAGTGTCAGTCTCCATGACCCGCAGACCCCGATCCGCTCTCACTCCAACAACAATGCTCACCCGAGTAGCCGTGGCCCCGACAGTTCATCGCCCATCCGGGGGAATCGAAAGATGCGCAAGCTTCAACGACAAGCCAAAGGCCAGAAGCAGCGTATCAACACGCTCCGACAGCGGCGCATAGATCGCGAACATCGACTTGCAGGAGAGATTTCAGCTGCAAATGCAAACTATCAAGCGGCCGTCACAGGCAATATACCTAGCGGGTCAATGCTGACCTTCGAGAATGCCATGCACAGTGAACCCAGGGCTCGTGAAGACAGTCCTGATGCGGAACTACCTATACCGCGCATGCCGCGAGAAGAGGTCTTTGACCAAGTTCTCGCTGTTCTCAAGTCCCATGGATACAGCTGGGGCGATCTCGTGCTGTACCTCTCCGACCCTGCATCAAAGAGAGGAGAGGAACGGTGGCAGGGGATGTTTGACATTCCAGGTCGAATTGACCAAGTACTCACCTACTGGACTTCATCACGCAACAGCCCAACTGGCCGGCGAGCGGTACATTCGTGGGTGATGGACTATATCAAGAAAACCATTAGCCGTGAAGGTACCCGAGCAACCAAGAACAAGATGCTTCAATCACGTACCAAGGCTGTGGACGAGGGTTTCTTCGTGAACTTCAGCCTGACGAAGATTCATGATCAACTCGCAGCGCTCTGTCCAGTTACCACGGCTCTGATGAGAGAGTTTTCAATGACTCGGCGGCAGAAGAAGACACTTACAATCAATTCCATTCGACAGAACGAGCTGGTATGCCACTCTCATGGAGTCTACAGCGAGCCGCACTGACCGACTTCGGTCACTAGCGTGTTGGTACAGCTTTGATGGGCCTCCTAGCCGAACGTAGTCAGCAAAACAGCTATGGACGGCATGTACTGGGCCTGTACCTCTATGCGACCGGTGCGCAGCGCCAGTGCATCAGCATCCTGTCACATATCGGAATATGCAGCAGCTATACGGCCATCGCAGGAACATCAGGGCCTGGGTACCATCCGACTAACACCTCCGACGACACTCGAAGCCCTGCGCAGTCACCGCCTTCAAGTGACAACGATGAATCTGAGCGAGATGACAATGAGGAGACGGAGTCTGATGACTCGTCCCAGTCTGAACTCTCCTCGATCGATGAAGGTGAGCAGGTGCATCCATTTGCTGCAGCCGAGGCCTAGAGTTGACGAGTCGGAAACCCACCAGAATATCCGAGACAAAACCGTGCAGAGGAACAGCCTGAGGAGCCCAACAGCCTTGAGACCATAGACGAAGACCATCCAGACGAAGGTGTCCACGGCGCTCTCACCGAGCGACTCGGCGGGGGTATACTCCGGCGCCTTTCCGAAGCCTGCCGCCTCAATACCCGTGCAAAGGCACGCGTTCACGAACTCGCCCACGTCTATGACAACATCAACTGGATTCTGCACGCCCCCGAGCAGACCATGAGCAACAAGGACTCCATCGAAAACGGCACCTGTGCCACAGTATTTCCACTCTTCCATGCCTCTCGCAGCGACATGCTCACTGTCGACCTTCTCCACGCTTTCGACGTAGCCCCGGCTCTTTCGCGGGATGACATCCTCCTCAACGCACCCGAGACACAGCTATTCACCAGTCTGCTCGAACACGCTGTCCTACGCGTCATTGTGTCGTATGGAGGCCCCGCATTTGCTCGCTTTGAGCCCGATGTTGACCGAACACTGCCTCGTACCTCGGAGTGCATCCCGCTACACAAGACAGAGGTATACCCTCTTCGTGCCATGAACATCGAGGAAGCGAGTATCAAGGGGAATGCGGAGGTCATGGAGGCTATGTTTAGTGAGCTTGGTCATGATCTGGACTCAACTAACTTCACCGACACCGTCAAGATTGTGTTTGGCGACCAGCTCTCAGTTGCCCGCCTTCGTGCTGTCATGAGCAATCGTGCAGGCCATGATACCCTATCCCGATCGATGCTCTTCGCCACCTTCGCACCGGGCTTCTTCCACTATCAAATGGCTGCGACGTTCGGTTTTCTCGAGACGCACTGGGGCAACCCTCACCTGGGCCAGCATGACCCTGCGTGCCTCTCCTGGCACAACACCGTGCTAGACCGTAAGCCCTTTGTCATAACAAATCGCCCGCCGTATCGTGTTGCCCGCGATCTCATCTTCCATTCCTTATACGGCCGCTTGATACACTGCCTCGAGCTTGTCAGCTCATGCGACAGCTTGGACGAATACGCGGAGACTGTGACGTTCGAAGATCTGCAGCGGCACGTCGCGGACATCGTGTCGCAATTCGCAATCTCAAACACCGTGTCTAAGCTGCGGGGCGCACGTTCATCAGGAAAACCTGAATTCCCTAATGAGACGTAATAGGAGTATATGAGACATATTTTGATACAATGAGTACAAATTAGAAGCTTTAGCTATTAGCCAACATTCCTTTACCCCGAAAATGATTAGTACTAATTAGTCCCTAATGATGTCCTAATGAGTTCCAATGAGAGCTATCTGAGGTGTAATCCTCTGACAATCCCGTATACATTAGCTATGATCCTTCACCATGAGTCCTCAATACATCGAGAGAGGAGAGTGAGCGCATGCCTGGCCATCTCGCATGATAACAATATCTGATTCAAAGACTGTATTCTAGATACATATCTACTGAGAAACACCAGTGCACGTAGTAATCTATCAAACCCGCAGCCTAAGACAGGTCGCCTGCCCGCTTACCTGTACGCGCACCCGCTTGCTCACCTGCACACGCGCTCCCACTCGATTACCTGCTCGCCCGCCTCCGTGCCCACCCCGCCTACGTGTACATTCGGTAGCCCTATTTGTGCGTTAGGCATTGCCCAGCACGCTCACGGTTGCCGTGCCCGTTTGCCTGCCCCTCCGCGAGTTCTCCCGTCAACCCGTCAATTTGCTTGTCCGTCCACTCGTCTGTCTGCCCGCTCGGTTGTGCACCCGTTCGTCGGCCGTGTCTATGTACTGGGCGTTCGCACAGCGCACTCGCGGTCAGCTTGTGTAGTACTTCTCTGCACCCTGTACCCACCCGCCCACTTGCCTACTCATTTGCGCGTCCGCTCGCGCACCCACTGACCCACTTGTCAACTTCCCCACTCCTCCACCTGCTCATCCGCCATCCGACGGCTCACCTGCCTACCCACCAACCACCCATCAGCCATGTCTACACGCAGGTCGTTTGCCCTGCATGCTCGCGGTCGACGAGCACATTGTACTGCACGGCGCCACTCCCTGTGCAGGCGGTCAGCTCGTTCATTTGTCTGCGTTTGTACTCACCGCCACCCATACATCGACTACAAACCACATTCTCATTCGAGCTATCACTGTGCAAGTGGTAGTGCACGCTCGAACGCGTGCACCGTAGCGGAAGCATGCAGAGTGGGTGGATTAATATCGATATAGGGCAACTTTGGCATACGTACCTCGACATCGCAAAGAGACACCAGTGGTCGCGCAGCAGCATCCGCACACCGAGAGCCTCCGCATCGCGCATAGTCTGCTTGCTGTCCGAGTCGAAATGCAAACGCCAATGAGTTCGGAAACGTTGCCATTAGCTGCGAAATTATCGCCATCGGCCTCCTCGTAGGCAACCGCGAGGGCGTGCAGATCACAGCAAAACAAGGCGAGGGCAAATGGGCGTCCAGATGAGCTGGCAGGAGGGCGAGAGTGCAGACAGGCAAGACAGGTGAACGAGCAAGCGAGCGAGAAAGCAATCGCGGGCAGACAAGAACGGGCAAGCGAGCAGACAAGTGCGTGAGCTAGCAAGAGGGGCGAGTGGGCAAGAACGAGCGGTGGAGCGAGAGTGGGAGGGTGGGCAAGCCGGCGAAGAGGAAAGAGTGGGCAGGCGAACAACCTACCGAGGGTGTAGGTAGGCAGACGGCGGCGAGACGGGTGAAAGCGGGCGGTGAGAGTGGGCGGTGAGAGCGGGCGGGTGCGAAAGGGAGAGCGCGAGAGAGTAGGATGGACACGTAGACTCCATCGAAACCGGATACGCGAACTGCTGGGCAAGTAGGCACGACGAGCTCATTGCTCGTCGACACACCTACTCCAGTACATTATTACAGAGTGAGACGGCGTGTGCGCGAGCAGACGGGTGAACTAGGGGAGAGAGGGAGAGCCCGAGTCGTCGAGCGAGCAGGCGGGTGGGCAAGAAGAGGGGACGAGTGGGAGAACGAGTAGTAGACAGCCTACGGGCAAGCTAGCGGTCGAGAACGGGGAGCGGCCGAGAACGGGGAGGAGCGTCAGACAGGTGGGTCCCAGTGGGCGAGACGGGCGATGGAAGTGCACGAGCAGGCGGCGAGGGCTGGTGAGCAGACAGCGGGGGCTGGTGAGCAGGCGGCGAGAACGGGTAAGCGGGCGGCGGGAGCAGTAGGCAACAGCGGGCGGACGGGTGTGAGCGGGCGTAAACGAGAGGATGAACGGGCGCGAGAGGATGGGCATGCGCAGGAGGGTCGCAAACGACTCTGGTGTGGTGTCGAAGAGCGCGAGGCCCACGGCTTCATCCTGAGTGTCCTGATAGCGAGCGGGTCAGAAAGTCCAGTTGCCGCACGTCAGACGGACTCACGATGTCCATGAGTGGCGATGAGGTCGAGGGGTGGGTGCGGGAAGGTACTGCCAGTCATCGCGAGAGGGAGGACAAGTGGCAACGTGGCACTTGGGAGACGCGAGCCAAGTCTTTAGCGCCGAAGCCCGGCTCTCGACTTAAGTTAGTCAACAACTTGCAAGTCCAATCTCGCCCGCTCACTACTCGCCGCACGCGTCGACCCATCTGCCTACATACTCGCACGCTGTCTTGACCATCCATTCACACTCGCTCGTCTGCCCGTCTCTGCGCCATCCGCCGCCGCGGCGATCCGCGTGGTTATCTGCCCACTCACTGGACCGTCGTATTCAACTCGCGACTCACCCACGACTCGGACTGCTATTACCAACCACCATGCCGACCCCCACGCATCAAAGCTCCAGCGCCATCTCCTAGTCATACAGAAACAAACACGGAAGGAGGAGATAGAAGATGGGTGGAACGTCAAGGGCGACTCGGGGAAGAGGGAGATTATAGCGAGCGCAGAGGCCCGGGACCCAGAGGTACGCCCCGTTTAATGCATTTACTAATCGCTGAATCTGTTGTCAGTACATGCTCATGCACGCGCATCGGCGGGTAGCTCGTTGTGTGTGCTCGTTGGCTCACACGTCCGCCCGCGCGCCTCTATGCTTGTCCACGCGCCGCCCTCTTGCGCCCGTCCTCTTGCGCCCGCCCGCTCCCTCCGTCTGCTCTCGTCCGTCTCGTCCGTCTCACCCGCCCGCCTGCTCGCACACTTGCTCGCTCTGCTCGTCTGCCTACCTTTTCCATCGCTGCCTCGTTTGCATGTCCACTCTCACGTCTTCGCCAGCTCGCCCACCCCCCCTGTTCTCGCTTGTTCGCCCATTGGCGACGCTCCGCTGGACGAGCATGTCGGAAGGAGGGACCGTGTGTCAGCAATGCCGAACGCACGGGAATGACCAGCGCGGAAGACCTACTGCAGTCCACGCATTCGCGCACGCTGGACGCATATTACAATGACACACGCCTAGGACGTCGGTCTCCGGTACGTGGTAACCACGTCACGTCCATCGTGATCAGTTTATCACTCCAACTCACCGTCTCCCATCCAGCAGATCTTCGCCCTGCTCGCTGACACGTCAGCTGCACACGCGAGCTACACGCCCGAGCTCATTACGCTCGTATTCCAGGTACATCTTGCACAAGCGCCGTCCACTACTCTGCTAACTTTCGTCCTCTCCCCACGTCGCTGTCGTAGCCACAGAACGGCCCGGGTCCTGTCGAGTCGAGTTGCACCCAGGTACGTGTGTCCCGGCCTTGTCGTAGCCGTGCGTCAAGGCGGCTGGTGGTCTCTCCAGAGCACGACTACCCCGCCCCAGGGGTACACAGCCGTGCGGACACGTCAGCCGTACATCTTGCAGCCCTCCGGTACGTGTCTTGTCCCGCACATCCGACGTCACTGATCGACCTTCGCAACAGTCGTCCTGCGGTACTCAGGGCGTGACTTCTTCGATGTTCGGGATCGCGACTCCATCGGTACAACTCGTGTCTCCTCCTCGTCTCACCTTGCTGACCGAGCCATCCAGGGCTTGTTCGCGTCGTCCTGCATGGGTGCACGGTACGTTCATCTTCAGCTGTCTTATGCGACCTGCGTACCGTCGACGAGTCTGATGGCGCATCCCGGCTCACAGCGAGCACAACAAATGACTTAGGAAGGCCGGCGTGGCTCAGACAACTGGTCCGCATGTGTGAATCAAATCTAGTATGTGCTCACTATGCGCCCTACTTCTGACTCCACCACGATAATTACAGTGCTGACCTGCTTTCATTTCAAAACAGAATCACAGTTTGAACGACAACAGCCCGCATGCCCATCTGCTGAGTGGACAAGTCAGCCGGAAGATGCACATGGGCACGAGCTCAGTCTGCTGTTCTCGGGGCAAATGAGAGTTCCAGTCTTCATAGATTAGATGATAGGTAGCTGTTGTACATACTGTCTTATTGTAATGATGAATATGTCTGCATACCCAGGTAACCCAAAGAGCATAGTGAAAACCAAGTTGTGGCTGTACAGTATTTGTATTTGCATCACAATGTGCTGAGAATTATGAACTATTATCAACAAGTATGGCTAACATGAATAAGACCTTCAGAGTATGAACTAAAATATGCATATTATTCTGATTAGTCCTAGTTTTACTCAGTTAGAGTGTCATTAGGCTGATGAGACTAATTTGGTCTAAGATAGTCAAAATCAGGGAATCCAGATTTTCCTGATGTTCACGAGAGCTTGCCAGAGCGCAATCAAACAATCCGGACTCCGGGGCCATACCAGCTGTGACACAGGGGGACATGGTCTTTGAAAACGCATGCCTGTTCCTTCGAGATGCCCTGGTGCTTCGAGAGTTCAGCGATGCCATCAAGGCCGGCGACTCGGGTCGAATCATACTGGTGCTGAAGGTATTAGCACTCAGCTATCGAGGGAGTGGTCGTACGAAATACGCGCAGGAAACCCTACATGTCATTCACAACCTGACACATATTTGGCCGAAGCCTCTGCGGTATGGTTCCTCTCGTCCAATCATGATGATGCTTGCTCACTCTAATGCGGCACAGCACCATAGTGATCAATAACTGGCTCGTGAATACCACCGGAAAGCCCAATCATTGGTACCCTGTGGACCTGCTGCAAGAGCACAACATATTCTGGACCAAGGTGAGTGCGACTCTCAATTGCGCTGCTTCGTCGTCGCTCACACCGAAAAATATCTATGTTGCAGAGGATATACAGCGCGCAGGGAAGCGGCGCTTCGTGGGACTGGCTTGAGATTACCTCGCCTTGCATTGGGGCCTTGCGGCACCTAGTGACATCAATGAATGATGCGTTAGGGTCACGGCAAGGCATCAAGCACGCGGAACCTGACCTTCGACGCGACATTGAAGAACTTCGACGCTCGCTCGCAGATGCTAATGTTTACAGAGTGGAGCCAGGACGGGTGATTGATGGCGAAAAGGCAGTCACACCGAACGTCGTTGCGGTTGGAGTGTCACAGCTTTTGGGACCGCTTGGAGAGTACAACGCAATGTTCGCCCGTTTGAGGAAGCGTCGCGCGCGAACATCGCCTCTTGTCGGCGGTACGATTGACGCGCCCGGAACGGCGACGGCGCGAGACGACTCACCGGGCAGTGATGTAACAACCGACTCGGACCATGCAAACACTGATGCGAACTCGTCCGGCGACGAAGACATGATGGATATCGACGACGGGGTGTCAGACGGCGAGGAGGAGGACGCAGACGTCAACGAGACGGAGTACTGGCTGGAGCACGAACCGTGGTTTACATTGGACGAGGAGGCCGATGTAGATCCTTATCTTGACTAGTCGAGCTTGCATGATTTACGCAATAGATATATATATGATTCAATGTACCTAGAGACCGTAGTATGCGTCCATTGCCAAACTTGCCCAAGGACGCCCATGAGCCAGAACGCGATACACGCGTTTTCACTAAGTGTCGATTCTCACGGGGGCCCAAATACGGCAGCGCCTTAGGGACCCCCGCAAAGGCCTTCCGATTGTCCCAGCCGTTAGAATGCCTGCTCGCCCTTCAAACCCCGACAACGAGCACGTGCATTCTAACGGCTGGTCACGAGCCTAGATGTCTAACTGTATTTGCGCGCCTGGCGCGTGCGGGTAGGTTTGCGCGCACGTTCGTCGAGTGTGGTACCCGCCATACGACACTGGCGACTCGCCAGAGTTCTGCGTGAGTGCTTCTCTGACGAGGAGAATGAACCCATGGGACTGGCCACCGGCAGCAGGTGTACACTGTACAGCATGTGGTACCTCTCAATATCCAACCGCTCGCTTGGGCAATGACTGCCCATACATAGGGCTTGACATTCTCGCTTCTATTCGGTGCACGTAGAACTCAGGCTGCAGCCGTAGTTCCGCCTGCTCTGGGTGCGGTCAACTCAGTCGCCCGCGAACACGGGTGCACATGGGCGTCGGCGTCATGGCGGGTGAGTCGGGTTGGTGAAACCTGTGGCCTCGGACTCAGCAAGGATTTTGAAACAACTCTCACAGGCCTTCATAGAAAACTTGCTTTCGACTGGTCATCACGGCCAGTATAGTCCCCGTAGTCCCTCGTCTCAACCTCAGATCCCTTCGAATTCTCGGACTCGTTGGACAAGACCAGGGCACATGTGGATCAGCATGCATGCCGTCAACTTGAAGACCCCCGTGAGACATTGTTTATACACCCTCTTTCCATCACCCTGGACTTCCATGTGGATTCGCCCTCGGAGGCAGCCCAGGGACTGGCCCCTTCTCAAATGTGCCCCACTAGAGTTGCGTGTCGCCGTTTCGCATTTGCCTCAGCCTTTGGCACACCGAATTGTCGTTGTTTGCACCTCGAGTTGTTTGAGGCGATGCGCCAAATCATGCTCCTCAGACCGTGGTGTTTACCAACTGTCGCGCAAAGCTCATACAATACCACCGCTGTCCCGCCTCCGACTGGTTCATGTCCCGACCAAACTTCCTCCCCATAACTGCGGCTGGGACACCGCGTCCTACGATACCCCAAACGACACCTGCGCCCTCGTCTCGCTCGCGGCTTTGTTCTCTATCGCACGTTCGCGTGCCCTGCGCTCGCGCTCGAGAAATACGAACGACGCGACAACCTGATCGCGGATCTCTTGCGCCTGGCCTTCCAATGAGAGGGTCGCGACCAAGCCTCCCTCATCGGTGAGGGTCCGGCGGAAGCTTGCAATAGGAAACGCGGTCTGTTCTGCCGTGTAGAGCTAGGGGCAAGTTCCTTCCGGTCAGCTGCGAAACACGACATAGCTTGAGCAAAAGGCCTAGTCCTAACCGCCAGGGTCCCGCGAGCGCGGTTCTCCCGCCATTTGTACTTGCGCCCTCTCTTGTCCTTCATCGTCACGTCCATGTCACCCACCATCAGCATGTCACTGCTCCCATACTGCACGACATCGATGCAGACGCCGACTCAAAGTACACACCGTTCGAACGGCATGATGCCCTTGCTCAGCCACTTGCCATACGCCACAGACTCATCCTCGCCGATCCTCACCTTGGACGAGCCCCAACCGAGGTCGGACGTCTCGAGAGTGGCTACGTTCGCGCCGGATGTGTCGCTCACGCGGATGGCAGAGCCTCGTGCAGTGCGCGTCGCGCTGACTGTGTAGAGAGGTTCACCGTCCGGAGAGAGGAGAGTGGTGTTGAGTGGAGAGTGAGGGTCAGTACGGGCGCGTCCATGGTAGCTGGCCTCAATGTGTCGGCTTCACCATGCAATCAGAATGATCTACTGCGCTACTGAGATGTGTGCTCGAAGTCGGACCAACAGGTCATTTTGCATAGCGGACTCGGAGCCCGCCGTATTTAAGGCTGTGCCGCGAGCCTGAGACAGCCGTACAAGTCACTCGCGGCATCTCTGCGAAGGAGACAGACCGCAGCATGAGTGCACTCCGACGAGCCGCAAGACCACGAAAAACGACTGCCAAGCACAAATATATGCGCAATGCGCATGCATGGCACTGTACGGTCGGCCGGTCAGGGGCAAAATGCGGGGAACGACGAGCGTCCCATGTGACCTATTACCAGCGATGTTAATCGTCTCGCGATCTCCGTTCTGGCCCCGGACCTTGCGCTCATCCAAGGGTTCGAACCTATCAACTAGTCAGTGCATAACAGCAAAGGCGCGCCTGCAGTCTGCGTCGCCCGATAAATGCTGCCCCTGAGACAACCACTTATAGAACAAGCCTCGCACCCGAGTCCGCGCCGGACGTTCGCCACGCAACCCCCACCATAGCACTGCACGATGGCCGACCACCCTGAGATCATCATGCTCACACTCACCCCGGACAATCCCTGTGACACGACTGTCACCGACGCATCCGGGAAGGTGCTCTACGTCGTGTACACCGAAAATGGCAAGAACGCTTCCACGACGCGTGTTTTTGAGGGCAACTCCGACACCATCGTCGCGGAGCTGAAGTGGTCGGACACGGGCCTAGTTCTCGGGAAGGTCACGCTTCGAGAAGGAAAGACGGTGCCGATGCGCGAATGGATGAACAAGAGCAAAATACCGTTCAATGAGTGAGTCGTGCCGTCTTTCGAATGGCTGGGGGAGATGAACGAGGAAATATAGCAGTGTGGCATTCAAAGACGAGAGTGGGAGGCGGTATAAGTGGAAGGGACTCTCACCTGGGCGAGCATTGGAGGTCAGTCAAACCACTGGCGCTTTACCCCATCTTCCATAAAGAGTCCTTACTGTATACAGCTCTACACCGAAGATGACGGCTTCAACCAGCCCATCGCGGGATTCCACAAGTCCATCACAGACCGGAGGGTGAGCCCCCGAGATTGACCCCGGCGACGTTACGACTCACACCACGCGCGGACGAGCTTCGCGAATTGGTGGTGTGCTCGTTCTTGTTCCTTGAGACTGACAGAAGGACGAAGGAGAAGAGTTTCGGTGAGACGGGGTTGAGGATGATGGCCAGTCCGGGTGTCATTTGAATCTTGGGTCTGTATATGGAACCAAGGCTGCTGGGACAATGGAACAAGACGATGCTGTTCAGTTAGTGACCGAGTAACGCATCAAAGATTTTTCTGCACATGCTGCAAAGTGAGATGGCATTGAGAATGCCTACGGTAGTGATGAGCTATGCGAATGCTTGACAGTGCGGAGCCCAGATCATCCAGCAATATCTTTCTCCCAGAGGAAGCAGTCAACGACATACATTCACTTGTGAGCTTATAGCAAAAGTTGAATAGCAAAAAGGTCTTCAGAGGTCCGACGAACGTATGATGCTAGTGTTGCATTGGCTCAGGGCCTTTCCCTCCGTTACTCTTCTTCGCCAGCTCGTTTCTACGCGATTTCAGTAAGTATCCTAGAGCGGAAGCCAACGTTGGACGCACCTTAGCTGCACGCTGAAATCGTCCTCGATATCATCGTCGTCCCAGTTATCCTCCCAGAGCTTATCCCCACCACTCTTCGCCGCCCCCGGTGGCGCACCGCCGAGATGTGCCAAGTCGGTCTGCGAATCATCCCAGTCTATCATGCATGCGGTGAGCACCCATGTACCGGGATACCTATGGCGAGTTGCTTGACGCACCTGCAACAGTGAACTCCTCGAACTCATCGTCCTCCTCGAGCATGCCCAGGTGGGGCACGGACTGCTCGCCCTTGGGCTCTCCCTCCTTTGCTTCTGGGGCTTTTGACGAAGATGCTGCTGTAGACATGGTCGCTGTGTAGGTGAAGGAAAGATGGGCTGTCGACCGGAGCAAACGGATGTGCACAGTTCGACGCGTGGATCGAGGACGGGGACGCGTCAGACTCGGTCGTGGGAACTTGATCATGTGCGGAGACACGATCGGTGACCGCGACGCGTCTGTGGCTGCCACTCAGCGCTGCGACCAGTACATACTTACTCAGTCCCAGTGCTGTCTCTGCTTTTCCCTACCTCGCGACCACGCCACCAGTCACACCCTAGTATACAAATATGGTCAAAGAGACAGACGAGACACGGAGGGCTCGCGCGAAGGCACAAGCATCTTCGCATCTCCCGAGAGCCGTCGTTGGCACCTCTCATTCATCGTCACCTCCGCAGGTTGCCACCTCGGATGGCTTGGGAGGCGGCAGGATCGAGTACATTCGCCAGGCATTCCACGCTCTCGGCGCACCAAGCGTTTCTGCAGATGACATGCGCAGGTTATGCAAGGGACCACTCGCCGATGCTCTTCTATTCATGGCCGAACACATGAAGGGGCGAGCCAAAGTTAACCAAGCGCGGCAGACCATCCAACAGTACGTCTGCGCAGGAGACAGCATAGATGCCGCTATGTAGCTGAAGCGTGTATATAAGGATGCGGGAAGCAGGCCCTTCTAGCGGGGTATCCTCCGAAGGGCAGCAAACCGATTTCATGAAGGCCAAACATGCAACAGCGAGATTGATCGGGGCGAAGAACGAGTTCAAGGAAGCTCGTAGTCAACTAGACAGCCGGCTTGAGTTGGTTTCCAAGTCCCGTACGTAAAGTATAAGCCTTTGGGGTCCCGAGGCAGTTGATTCATCACCCCCATAGAGCGCGAATTGGAACGATTGCAGGTTCTCCTGGACGCCAAGCGGAGGTCTCTTTTCTTATTGCAAGTTCTCGAGAAAAAGGAAACTATCCGAAGTTCAAGGATCAAGGAGGTAGACCGGCTGATGGGTCAGCTTCAGTGAGCAGCTCACCAGATGCATCACCATTGACTCACAATTGGCTACCCAGGACAGAAGCAGTAAAGCTCGTTAGTGCCTCGGCTGCTCTTGAGCGCGGATTTTTTACACGTCCAGATTTGATTAGACAGGCGATGTACCTGTCAC